TTTGGAGCAATTACAATTATAAACGAACGCTTCTGTGGTAGTTGTGCGCTGTGCTACGCTGAACTGTCTGCAAACCAATCACCACATTAATTATATACGCACACACCCCATTTTCACCTTTAAAATCTAAACAAGCCGCATTGCTCAGTCGAACAGCCGTTTGATCGTGTAATATAAGCGGTCAAGCAGTTACTCGTAAGTACGCTGGATAAACCACACAAGTTGGCGGCGTGGCGCTATGATTTTACACCGCTATAAATCAACATAATTAACACAAATTCAAAGAGTCAATTTATCGCTGCATAAGCGCTTCTGCATGTGCACGCATTTGAAACAAACAACTAACTTGCAATTAAGGCTTGCATTCGCCAAGCGCAACAGGAACTTGTGCTAATATGCAGTATTTCATATTTATAAATAAAAAAATTTATGTTTAGAATGAGCTTTGCCTAAGCCGCCGTAGTTCATTTGCAGCGTATATATTTAGCTCAACATCATACATTTATACTAATGTGTATGTATACTGCTATTATATGTATGTATATTAGGGTGGCCCAAAAATACAAATGTAGGAAAATAAACTTTTTTCAAATTTCCTGTTGCCACCCCCCAGATCTGAAGAATATCAAAAATAAAGAGACACGTATTTTTTTTATATGAAATCGGTTAATATTTATTCGTGCCGCCGCACAATGGGGCAAAAAAGGTTGCTGTGGATAAATTAATTTTGGGAGCCCAAATATGAACCGATTTCAAGTTTGTTTTTTTTTTAATAAAATATAATTAAATTTTGCGTGGATCTATCCGTGGCGATTATTAAATGTATCCTATGGAAAAATGTTTATGAATAGTTTTTTAAATAATTGCAGGCATTCGAAAATAATTTCAAGTATTTTCCAAAAGATTGGAAGCATTTAAACGTAAAATTTTTTTTCTTACATTTTTGAACATAAATAAATAAAAAACCAGAGCTTTTAAAAAAAACGCCACGGATAGATCGACGCGAAATTTAATTATCCCTTATTTAAAAAGATGAAACTTGAAATCGGTTCATATTTGGGCTCTCAAAATTGATTTGTCCACAGCAACCTTTTTTGCCCCACTGTGCACCGCACAGTATTTCGACTATATGGAGGCGGGTGGAAATAATAGTAAACATCCACCATTCTTCTGTAAAGATGGAATAATTGCCACGCCCTCCACTCTTGTGGGCGGAAACATTAAATTTCATCCGATTTCGATGAAATTTGTGCTCACTTTTTTATTAGAAAACCCTAAATATAAAATATAGGAAAATACCAAATAAATGATAAAAACCTTCACCTGAATATTCCACGACACTTAAACAATTGATTACAGTTGAAAAAGAAACACTTCCTTTGATGGGTGAAGCGCCAAAGGCAACTAAACTGATTAGTCGGTACCACGCCGATTCTAGTATATTTTTGGAAATGTACCGTTCGTGGAGAGGGGCGGTGAGTAAATTATTTGAAGTTTTGCATTTATGACTTTCACTTTACCCTCTCTAAGCCCAACCGGTTTTTTTATCAACTGTCACCATGACTTTTTTCTACCTGCCTCCATATAGTTGAAACACTGTGCGCCGGGGCTTTGAATTTTCCCATGTATTTTACAAGGGGGAAAATTCATTTTTTGCAGAATTGCTAAAAAATCGTTAAATATAATTTTTTTTTTTTGATCGAATAAAACTATTTTTCTTCAGAAGTCGTCAACAAATAACACTATGATGCTTATTTAACTTAAACATTTTACTAAGTGTGTTTTGATAACCGATAATCTTATCTGTTATATACATAACTTAGTTATTTTATGTTTTCATAACCACATCACGCACGAACAGATCAATTGTTGTGCTTAATTCTTTTTTGCATTCTACTCGATTATTTCTGTGGGTATGTGGTAAAAAAATAGGGCTATCAGATGTCTGAAATTAAAATTATTTAAAGGCTCAATACAATAATTAAGTTTCTCCATCAAAACCATAAAAATATTTTTGTAAGGGGTTGCCACCTTTAGACCACAATATGGGTATCAAATGGAAGGTTTATGTACTTCCAGAAAAAGTTTTTGAAACACACATACTTTAATTCACATATATTTTTGGATAGGGTTGCCATTTATCTATAATAAAAATTTATTTAAATCATGCTGAAAAATTCAACACTATTTTGTGTTAAGTTGGTTTGTACCTTTTTTTATCAGTTCTTGTCATTTTTAGAGGAGCGCGAAACACTACCAAATTATTTCCGATTTAGTTGC